GTTGTAACTTTACTTATCTTACTTGAAACCCCACTTATAACTACCCATGAACCTCCAAGTAGGGTTTGTAGGGCTTCGCACCCAGGGGTCCAAGTAGGCTTTAGGGTTTAGGGGTTAGGGGTTTAGGGGTTTAGCGTTTACGACTCCCTGTTGTAGAACTTTAGGGCGTTTTAGGTATCAAAAACCATAAATAAGAACTCCTTGCACCCTTAGAGATATATAGGCTGTTGAGGCTTTCAAGGTTTGGAATTCGCAAGGGCTTCATGAGCTTCAGGTTCAGAGGTGTAGGGTTTTGGGGTTTTGGGAAACACTACTCGCAGTTTCATGGGTAGCGATGAGCAGGGCTAGAAGTCTTTGAATCTGGGCCATATGGGAGTTTCTGAAGATAGGGTACGCTAATCGATTATCCTAAATCGTAGGATGCTTACTAGAAGGACCCCAAAGTAAAGTACCCCAAATTTTCGAAAACTCCCATATCTATAGTTATCCTACTTAATTATTTATAACCCCACCCAGAAAGCGCTTTGCAAGGCTTTTTTGATGCTGCTAGAGCCCGCGTTACAACGGCTTTACGAGTCACAGGGTTCACACAGATCGCGTCGCGCTTGAGAAAGGGTTTCTGAGGTGTTTCCGGGGTGTATTGGGGCTGCAAAAGCTTCATGAGCCCAGAGGTTCCATGTACCCAAATAGTATATACCTTTGCCTCAAAGTAGTCCCTACATAAGTACTCTGGGGCCAAAGTATATTTATACATATATACATACACTATTTGGGTAAATGGACTCTCAGGAGAGAGATTCAGAAGGCTGTGTATGGTAACTACGCGCTTATTGGCACCGAAAGAATGCTAAACCTATACCTTTACCGAGTTTTCCACAAGTAGGCATGGGCTTGGGGGTTTTAGTCCTTGCTTTAGCAGGTCTGAGAGAAAGAACAGGGTTTAGGGCACTATAAGGGCCGTAATAATTAAAATGGGGTTTTGGGGGCCCATTATAATTGTACTATACTAACAAGAAGGAACCCCCCCCAACATAGTATAGGTAATTGTTATACGGCCCCTATATATTGCTTGCAATCTCCGGTTGCTTCGCAGGATTGGGCCCCAAAAACCCTAAACCCATAAACCCCTAAACCCCAAACCCCTAAACCCTAAACCGTTAGGTGTCCAGAGCTTCGCGTGGTTCAGTCTCGGGTCTCGGATCGGGATTTCAAGGTTTCGAGATTCTAGGGTTTAGGGTTTAGGGGTTTAGGGTTTAGGGGTTTAGGGTTTAGGGTTCTCTCTTCTTGAACACCCGGGCCACAAAAAGGTTTGAAGTTTCCAAGATAGAGCTAATATATGAGGCCAAAGAGTTTAAAGTTCCGCCGCTCACTTGAAATCACAAGGTTGAAGGTGTTGTACTAAGGCCCCTATATTAAGTCCTTATAGTAATCCTTCTAGAGCCTTCAAAGGAGCCCTCAAAGGAACCCTATTCTGATTATTAAGGCCCCTATATTAAGCCCGGGTTATAGTAGGGGCTTGAAGTCGTAGAGTCTTCGAGTTGCAAAGCTCAAATGCCAAAACGAGAAAGCTGTGTGTGACCCCAAGGCTCCATGTACCTTTATAAATAGTAGATACTTACGCCTTAAAGGGGTCCCTATATGGGCACTTCAAGGCCTAAGTATACGCTATATGGGTACATGGAGCCTCAGGGTAACAAAAGAATCACAAGCAATTAAGCCCTAAACCACCGAACTTCAAGCCCCCAAAAGCCGGCAAAGAACCTTAACCAAAGCGCATTGCTCTTCGGAAGGCATCCGAAAAAGCAAGAGCACAAGGGCGCGATCAGGGTTGAGGTCTGAGAAATTGGAACCCAGAGCCTAAGCCCCAAACCCTTCTTGAACCTTGATAGAACCAGCAATGGAAGGCAGCAGCCCGAACGGTATAAAACCTTGATAACACTCGCCATTCATTTAATTGAACCTCAGCCCTAAGCCTGTTGCCCCTTAACCCGAAACCCTAAGCCCCTTACTCCTTCGCCCTACTCTAAACGCTAAACTCTAAGCCCCTTACCCCTTAACCCTACCCTAAACCCTAAGTCCCTTACCCCTTAACCCTAAATCCTAAACCCCAAATCCTAAACCCGAAACCCTAAACCCACAGCCCCTTACCCCTAAACCCCTGAAACCTTCACACCAACAGTCGCAAAGCGGAGTGCTGCTGAATCCCTTCCGGGTCCCAATACGGCTGATGATATAAATCCTGCATGACCCATCATAAGGAAGATAGCATAACTCCCATAGTTTAGGGTCCTTAAGGTAATGCAAGATTTATATACCATCAACCGTAATGGTGGGTGGGGGGGGGGGGGGCTTTTATTCATGATTCAGCTAGGGCTTCTTTAACGGGACTCATGAAGGGATCCTGTAAAGGGCTCTGAAAGGGTTGCTAAAATTGCGAAAAGGGCTCAGGGTCTATAAGCGCCTTCACAATTAGAATAGGGGGTCGTTTGGGGGGGGGCAATAAGTTATGACAAGGAAGACATAGGAATAGCAATGGTAGCTATTCCAACCCTTCCCGCATCGCAACACGGCCGAGCCACAAATCACGAAGTTGTAGACACCCGAGCGTGCGAGTTCCTCAACCTAGTAACGTTTTAGGGTTTGGGGTTTAGGAGCTTGGGGCAATTCTTGCAGGATTCCAACCAAAGGCTACCCTAAGTTATGCGGAGTCTCTTTCGATGAAGTAAACCCTTCGGAGGCTGTTAGAGTTTAGGGCTCAGCACTGAACGATCTTAATATAGGGGGCCTTCATCACTTAGAATCAGGCTTTGTGTCCCATTATACTACAAATACAACAAGGACTTTTCCCTAAACCCCAAACCCTAAACCTATACTGAACTTGGAACCCTAGCAAAAAATTATGATTTTAGCTGTTTCTTAGGGATTCTAATAACCAAAAAAAATATTTCTAAGTACCCCTAAGAAACCCTAAACCTATCGCATCTGCTTTTACTTGGCACCGGGCCTATGGGACGCAAAGCTTCTGCTTCTAGGATGCCCAATAACTACCTAGGAATTAAAAGGGCTCCCTTTTTGGTACTGGTTAACTTCATAAGGAACCTAGGAGTACAAAAAGGAATAAGGGTACTACAGGGCATCCTAGACTTTACTTTTGCGGTTTACTGTGAATTCGGGTTGTGGGATTTCTGGCTCAGGGGCTGTGACGCGTCAAAAGCATCGAGTCCCCGAAACCCGTAACCCTCAGGGACACTCAACCCTAAACCTGTGAACCATAAACCAAGTCCATGGTTGGGGTCTAATGAAAAATGCAGTTTCTGCACCTTCTTGGGTTGAAGTACCATAAACAACTGTAACCTGCTACCGAACTACGACAAAGGAACCCCCAGTTTGCCAAAAATCAAGAACCTCCGCGCAATAAACCACTACGCCATACTAAGTAATACAGAAACCTAGGTAAGTTCCAATATCATTCCTTAGAGTCCTTATACATAATTCTAATATAGACGGCCCGAAACCCTATTTTTAAACATTAAATCCTCTTTCTGGGAGTTTCCGAAAATAGGGGACCCTAATATACTACCCTAAATAGTAGGATCCTAATTATCAGGACCCCTAAATAAGGTGCCCCGAATTTTCGGAAACTCCCATATTACCTCCGGCCTCTGAAGGCATCATGCCAGGAACTTGCTGGGCCGGAACCCTTTGGGGCTAAGAGCGCTCGACCCCTGGAAGTTGACCTTCTTGGTGATTTAGGGATAATGTAGCTCTACTCCCCTTGGAAGGTAAGCAAAAAACTACTTTTTCGGAGACCCCTATAAAAGAAGACCGGCACCAAAAAAGGAACAAAGTAACAAAGTCTCCAAGAGCCTTAAAGGTAAAGTATGTAAAGTCGTTTGAGCTTCAAGGCCCCAAAGTGCATGCTCCATGAGTTCGTGGACCCTGAGGGAAAGGCATGCAGCTTTTCTTGATGCGCGAGCGCAGGGTTTTCGGGTGCGGCCCCAATCAGAGGCCCTACAAGCACCAGTCCCTCACATAGGGGTCTGAATAATTGGAACCGAGTTTTGGGGTTTATGATAGTTGACTCAGTCGTTTCAGGACTAGAAGGTATAAGCGACTAAACCAAACAGCTGCCAAACAGAAAAACCCTGATATCCAGCAAGCCAGTACCGGGTTTAGGATTTGGGAGTCCGGGTTAACTACTAGCAAAGGCCCCCTATGCTATAAAACCGTTCTGGAAACCAAATATCTCAAATTGCGCTTTGCGTGGGATGAGCTTGGTGGGGCAATCCCAACTAGAAGTCCCACCTACTATAGGGGCCTGAAAAATTAGAATGGCATTTCGGGTATATTGTACTACAATTTTAAATACCTATTGCGGCCCCTGTTGAGGCCTCCGAATGAGCCTCAGCACCGATATTGCCAGTTCCCACTAACTCTGCGGAAGTGGCAGGAAAATCCTTGGGCTCCAGTCACCTGAATCCTGGAATATTGGGCAACATACAAAACACACACAAGATGTACATAATATGTAGATACATATATATATATATATGTACATATATATATATATATATATATATATATACATACGTATGTGTATACACATATACATGTGAAATAAAATATAAGACTTGTATATGTATATGCGAAAAACCTGATACCTATAATCTATGACTTATAAACGGTACGGCCGCCGGCCGCCAAATTTACTTCTCTGGCTGTGTCGTACATACATACATACATACATACATATATACATACAACATAAGTACATATACATGCATACATACACGCAGACAGACACATACACACACACACAGAAATACGTGCAATCGCAACCTCCTGCATAGATCACTGGAGCCCTGGAGAACGCCAGCTTGACTTTCTGAGAGATCCCAATACCCCTTAATTAAAGAGTTTACCTGAAATTACAGGGGCCTTAATATTGTGGTTCAAGGTATAGTATATTCCTTAATTCAGGGGTGTTGGGATCTCTGGGTTCACGCTGTGCCCAGGGCGTCCACCAGCCGGGCGCGCAGTGCCTCTCGGACGCTGAGGGTTTAGAGTAAACCCCATAAAGTTGGAAACTTGATTAAGGCCAAATAGTGCTGGGATTCCCTATACGGTACTCTTAAGGGTTGAGGCTATTGGGTTTCCACCTTTTGGGCTTCTACTGTAGGGTTTAAGGGTCCTTGAGGAGGCTCCCTAAGGTTCTACAAGGGCTCTTCAAAGATCTAGAGGGTTCCATAAGGGCTCCTTTGAGGGATCTATAGGGTTCTACAAGGGTTGTCAACGCTTCTATAGGGATTTAAGGTTTAGGCTTTAAGATTTAGTGTTCGTTTAAGGGATCCAAAACATTTTACAAGGTTTCTGAGGGTTGTAGGGGTTTGGGGTTTGTCAGGATTGGGTTTTGGAGATTTGGGACAAAAAGCTTGGGGTTGTGGGTTTACCTTAGCCCCGAAAACGTACATAGCATCTTTAAAGCAACTCGTACAGAAACTGTAGTGAAGAGCCCTAACTACATTCGGGTTAAGTAAACGTCTCCACCAAAAGATCGCAAGTACCTGTTGGGGGGGGGGGGGGGCTCTTTGCACGAATCGTGTCCGGGATCTGAAACAGATTAAGATTCGGCTTGGGGTTTAGGGCTTGGGGATTTAAGGTTTCGGGCTTAGGTTTTAGAGGTTCAGGGCTTATTATAGGGTTTAGGTAAGTCCAAGGAAGTCTCTGGAACATAAGCATACATATACAGATGGGCATGACACTTGTGATCAACCCAAAAAGTCCCGACCCAAAGTGGCAAAGTGTACAAGTCTAGGCACAAGTCACGTACATGAAAGGAACAACTTAGGGGCTGAGTACCCTGGCCCCAAAAAAGGTTAAACTCTTCAATTTTGGGTTTAGGGTTTTAGGGTTTTAGGGTTTAGGGTTTAGGGCAAAATGATGCTAGGATTATACCCAAATGCTCCTGGACCCTCGTAGTGAAACTCCAAACCTTAGCCCCCAAAGCCCAAACCCTCGCCCACAAAGCCCAAGACCGTCTTTGGAGCTTTAGAATATAAACCCAAGAGGTTAAAGGTTACCTATTCAGCTACTATGGCAATGGGGCACTGCAGATCGCTTTGAGCCGCTCTGCATCTCAGAGTCATGAAGCTCGGCGTCAGGCCGCTTTAAGGCCGGGATCCCCACTTGGAGGGTCCTGGGTAGTTATAAGTAGGATCATATGAGTTGTAAGTATAGTTATCCTATTTATAACCCCAGTTATAACTACCCATGTACCTCCAAGCACATAACCGCAACGAATAGAGGAGCGAACCAAATAAGGGAACTCCAAAAACGACTGACGACTGACGCGTATTACTGCATAGGGTTCTTCATTACTTCAATGCAGTGACGTATATCTATACATTATATCCAAACCTAGCCGAACCCTCAAAACAAAAACAAAGCCCATGGTGTAACCTCTAAACCGCTAAGCCCTAAACCTTAAACCTCGAAACCCTAACACACACACACACTCAAAACCCAAATCCCTAAACCTCCAAGCACTAAACCCTAAACCCTAAAGCCCTAAACCCGATAGATCCTTTGTAGGATCCCTTAAAAGAGCCCTTATAGATCCAACACCCCAAGCCCTGGACTAGGGCCCCAAAAAAGCACATACGCAAAAAATAGGATAGGGATATCGGATATCCCATATAATCCCCCTTAAAAGGAAGCCCAATAAGGTAGGGATATCCCCATATAATGCCTATGCTTATGTGATTTTTGGGTCCCTAATGGACTTGCTCTGGCGAGACCCGTCCTCGTACGGCACCGTCTCTGCATGCCCATCGCGGCCGCGAAGTGCAAACAGCACCTTCGGGGTTGAGGGGGGTTTAGGGTTCCTTCAAGGGCTCTGTAAGGGGCCTACAGAAGGGTTCGAAACTGTAGGGCTTAGGGTTAGGGGGGGTTAGGGTTCCTTAAAGGGCTCTATAAGGGACCTATTGTAAAACTCTTTACTTGTAGGGCTCAGGGTTTAGCGGGGGTTTAGGGGTTAGGGTTGAGGGGTTCCAGGGTTTGAGGGTTTAGGGGTTAGAGTCAGAGTTTAGGGGTTTAGGGTTTATAGGGGTTTAGGGTATTGGAAACCAAGGGATAGGGTTTAGGGTTCCGCGGTCTGGCGACCCACAGCTTTAGGGTTCAGTGGCCTGAACCCCAAAGACGCTATACAGCTTAAAGCGCAAATCCCTCAAGCCCTATAAGCCTTATACGCCCCATACGCCCTAATTTCGGAATCCTTGTGTCCATATTTTGGGGTAAACGTCACCAACTAAACTAATTAATTACTCAGGAGTGCAGCACCACAATTACAGCCCTCAGTTTAAGCAAAGATCGGAACAAAAGTTGTAGCACTTGTAAGATGCGGAACTTGCCAATCAAGCCCTAAACCCTAAAACCCTAAACCTTAAACCTGCTGGAATCGCTCTTCTAGGGTGCCCTGAAACCCAAAACGCACAAGGTTTATTCGACCACAGAGCCAAATCCCAAATCCGTAAAGCCAAAGACCCTAAAACTGTCCCTTATCGTGTCCGTACAGTACCCCTGCAAGAAATCCTTTATCATACCATAGACATCCTTGCCTTAAGGCCCCCGATGCTCCCTAAACCGCTCTAGAACCCTTTTAGAATCCTTGACAGGAGCCCATTAAGAGAACCCTTTTAAAGTTAAAGAAACCCTCTTCCTTAGTTGCTGAGTTCATAAGCCCCCAAAAGTGTACACTTCTCGCTTTATAGTGGGTAGCACTATCCCCAAAACTGTAAAGTGTATCCACTCAGCTACTAAGCTTCTGACTGTTAAAGCCCCATTAAATGACCCTAAACCCTAAACCCTAATAAACCCTAAACCTTAAACCCTGATTAGCATAGCCTCGGAGCGCCTCACTGCCAGACTGGCGGAGCTCAAGCGACAAGGACTCGGAGTCCGCGGGCCAGATGTTTGAGATGTGCCTCTCATAGCTTAGGGTTTCGGGGTTAGGGTTTAGGGGTGGATAAGGGTTTAGGGCTTTTGGGTCTAGGGTTGGGTTTGAAACATTTTGCACAGGGCTCGGGTTTTGGGCTTGTCTAAGGTGAACCTGTTGCTTCTTAGGTGATTGCACACGGGGTAAAAGGCTTTGTGTACTGTTTCTATGAGACTTCTAAAGGGTTCTATATGTATCCCAAAAACTCGACGTAATTACCTGTTACAGAATCTCTTTGAGGCTCTATACTCCCAAAGGCTCCATGTACCGTTATAGTAGATACTTAAGCCCCAAAGTAGTCCCTATATAGGTACTTTAAAGCCTAAGTATATACTATATGGGTACATGGAGCCTTAGGGACTCGTTACAGCATCTGAAGCCTTTCGGGGTTAAAGAAGAATATCTAAGATGGGCGTTGCCATACACTAGACCTAAGAGTAACCTAGGAATAAAAAGGGTGCCCTTTTTGGTTTTAAAGGGGTTTATAAGGGAACCTGAACCCTCAAAAAAGGGAATAAGGGCCTACTCTGGGTCCTAGTACAAGATTGGGTTCTGTTGGGTGCTATATCGGGGGTTCAAGAGCCTATATTCATCGCTTAGGGTGCCGGGCGAGCGTTTAGGGGTTGCAGGGCTATGGGAGTAATATAGGGGCCTTAATGATTAGAATAGGGTTATATATTATACTATATAGGTAGAATGAGAAGGAACACCCCAAATAGCAGTGGTACTTATTCAGGCCCCCTTTGTGATTAAAGATCCTTTCGGGTTGGCGGGCTTTTGCGGGCTGACCGCGCAGCAAAACCATGAGACAAAGCTCCCGAAACCCTACCTTAACCCCAAATGACCTACCTGTTTAAGGACGTATCTAAGGAAATGATATTAAATAATCCTAAACAAAACATATCGGAGTTTCAGCCAACGTCCTTCGCAAGGGGACCCGGACATATGCGCACACTGTAGCAAAAACAGACAACAGTATGAGAAACCCTGAAACCCTGAAAGACCCAAAGCAAGGATCCCTGGCACCCGAGAACCGTACGCCCAACCTAGAGGCTCATACCCTGCACCTACCCCTTTGCTAGGGATCCCTAGTTTTATGGTGAGGATCTGTTATCTTAAAACGTAGGCGCACTAAAAAGGGGTAGGGTATGAGCCTCTAGGTAACCTCAAGCCCTGACCCAAAAGACCTAGACCTGACGCCCTAAAGCCGAAACACCTTTCTGGGCACAGCGGAGCCTTATACCCTAAACCCCATAAAACCCTTACAGAACCCTTATCCCTAAATCCTAGACCCCTAAACCCCTAAACCCCGAAACCCTAAACCCCTAAACCCTAAACCCCTAAACCCTAAACCCTAAACCCTGAGCCCCTAAACCCCAAAGGAACTCTTCACGCACAGCCGGGCCTTGAAGATGCGTCCGAAGACATGGAATTCTCAATGCAGACCAACGAGGATGCATCCTGGGCTCGTGTTATGGACTTTAATCCTTTACCTTTGGTTAGTAGAGAATGGAAGAATGGTAGTAATAGTAGTTATAATGGTACCCCATTCCTCCATTCCCTTCTAACCCAAGGTAAGTAAAGGAGCCCTTATTGATCTCCATTATGGTACCTGAAATTAGATCCGCAACTGAGATGAGATCCCCTAAACCCTACTTAGAGGATCATGGGACTTAGTATGTAGGTTATAACTGGGGTTATAAGTCCCCTAAGTGGGGTTATCCTAATTATAACCTACTTATAACCTTACTTACTAAGTCCCATGAGCCTTTAAGTAATCCCTTAATAAGAAGCCAGCATCAGCTACGTAGACGACCAAGCCGAGGTCGGATCCCTCCAGGGCGGTGTCCTTAGAACTCTAGGTTCTAGGGTTTAGGGTTTAAAATTGTGGGTTTAGGATTTAGAACTTGGGGTTTAAGTTTTAGAATTGAGGGTTTAGAGGTGGACGTGGGTTTTGGTTGCGGGATTGTGGGTGTGGGGTTCGGTTTTGTACTGCGGTCTCGAATACCGTTTGCTCCACTTTCTTTTGAGTCCTTGACGTATGCTTCTTGGATCCTTTCGCAAGCGGTCCCCCCTAGGATGCAAAGCGGGTTACTGTGCCTTAGATACATCTCAAAAGACGACTATGGACATACAAGAGACGATATAGAATCGCAGCAATGTGACCCAGGTAATTGAGCTCTGGCGAGGTCCTCAACGGAGTCAAGCGACGCCTGTATGACGTCATTCAATCCTATATAAGCTAGAAACGCAGCACCATGCAACCCAGAACGACGGGTAATCGTGGACATAGTTGGGCTACACAATGTTCGTTGCCTACGATCTCGCACTGCGGAAACACAGCGATTGACGGACGGAACTACAATCCAAAGTCTCTGCAAAATCCCTGTCAAGCGCTGAGACATGTTTGGAAAACTCGGGAACGAAAAACAAAACCAAGCCCAGCACCCCATGCAATGGTCTCGCATACCGCATTTGCTTATTCTTATATGGTTGTGTATAACAGGCCCGAAGTACCATAGTTCAAAACAGCAGCCGAACACGGGTGTGTGCTTTGTTGAACTCGGCTTAAAGCCTTTTGGGTTTGTGGGTTTGGATTCTAACTACCTGTAGGACACTGTAGGACCTGTAGCCCCTCCCCACTCGAAGCCCGAACACCCTAAACCCGATGGGCTTTAGGGATTAACTTACTGCTGAACCCTAAAACCTAAACCCTGCTAGGGAGTGTATGGGGGAGTGTATTGGGCTCTCTCAGGGTTCGTTGAAGGCTCCGTACTCCTGAGGCTCAAGGAATCCTGCTATATTGGTTTCTTGAGGCCCTGAATACTAGATATTTGCTGTGGTTATGGTACCTAAACTAGGATGCCCAGTAACCTAGGAATAAAAAGGGCTCCATTTTTGGTATTGGGTAATTTTATAAGGAAACTGGGAGTACAAAAAGGGAATAAGGGTACTACTACGGGGCATCCTAGTAAAGCCCTGCGTATCGATCATACCATACCCCTTGTTTCGGGCGCCCACTTTTTAAGACAACAGACCCTCACCATAAAACTAGGTATCCTAGAAAGGGGTAGGGTATGAGCCTCTAGGTAAAGCCCTACGCATCGATTTCTTGGACCCATGACGGGTTGCATGTTGATAAATCCACGCCGGGCCATTCAGCCGAGCCGCGAAGGCACGGATCATCTCGCTGATCCTTGCTTAGCCGAGGTGGATGAAGAGTTACTATAGAGTCCGAAATACCTACCTATAGTATTTTTGGGGCTCTTTACATCATGGCTTCATACACCCCAAAGCCCTATTTTAACCATCAAGGCCCGTATAGTACTCGTCTCCCTGAACACAAGGCTCCATCTACCTATACTATAGGTTATCACGGAATATACCTTAAATCATAAAAAGGATCCTACCATAATTTAAGGAATATTCCTTTATAGATTCGACAGGTTTGCCCTCCAGTCCTATCATGAGTCTAGAACTCCGGTGAGGACCAATGCTTGGACCATGTACGTACATGGAGCCCTAAACCCAACGCCCCTACATAAACCGTTAAATCCTACACCCGAAACCCCACAAGCCCTCTAAGCCCCCCAAAAAGTTTCGAAACCTCATCCTAGAAAACCCCTAAGTGCCTACATAAACTCCTTCATCAATCCTAAACCCCCCAAAAGGTTTCGGGTAGCTTGGCCCAGCTACAAAGGGCCGATGACTGGCACAGCTGACGGCAGACCCGATTCTCGCAGCCTCAGGGATTGTCTTTAATGCTTTGGGTTTAGGGGTTCAGGATTGTAAGAGTTAGTTAGCGGAGATTTGTTGTAGGGTTTAGGGGTTTGGGCCATTAGGGTTTTGGGGCTTTTTGGGTTTGGGGTTTCCGGCAGGGCTTAAGGTCCCTATCCAAAACAACTACCTGTCTTAAGGTTTTGGCGACAGGTAGAGGGTATGGGTTTACGCGTTTAGGGGGTAGAGATTCAAGGGTTGAGGATGGTTCACGTGAATAGTAACAAGAGAATAGGGGTTTTCAGGGAATCAGGGTTTAAAGGTTTGGCTTCATATGGGCTTAACCCAGGTTCCTGCTCGTTGGACATTTCCTTGTTTAGGTCTCCTATCAGCAGAACTCCTCTGAGGGATACTATAAAAAGAGGTGTCTGCCTGGGGTCGGGCTTCCGGGCTACTTGGGGCTATAGAGTGGCTTTTGACGCCAGGCCTCCTCGAAAAAAAAATCCTGACAACAGCTCGAGGGTTTGGGGTTGACGGCAGCGGAAGAGGGAGTTTATCACTTGTGCTCTTGGGATTTAAGTGGCTTGCGGTTGAGGGTTGCGCATGAACCAGTGCGTCACTCCGTTTAAGGAAACGCAACAGTGCGCGAATAATTCATATCCTTCTTCAGCCATTTTGGACGTTGATGAATCAACTCGAAATTCCAAACTTCTTCGATGGAAAAATTGGGAATTCAGGTGTGACGATGCCTTGATCTGCCTTGATGCCGCAAACCCCAAACCCTAAACCTAAATCCACTGACGGCCAGGCGAGTGGCGGCATCGCCCAGGAACGATAATTCAATCGCCTGAGCTCTCAACGGGTCCTAATATAAGAACCTGCATGGTGCAGAATAGGGTTTCTGTACCGCTTGCTTTTCCTGAGAAAGCTTTGGCTTGATCAAGAATCCCGGATGTAGACATTTAGCTTGCCTTGGGCATGCTTTGCTCTTGCAGGACAAATTAACGCTGCATTCTTGATTTTACGTTGCCACCGTATCATTTAGCAACGACCCCTTTTACGCTACAGCGGACATTGGTACAGTGTAACCTACAAGAATCCAGAAAGTGTCAGGGTAGTTTTCCTACATTCACCACCCAAACCCTGAACTTTCTACTTTAAACCCAGAAGTTGAAGCCAAGCAGCTTGATTGAACGGAGATCCATTGCACCCTGCGGGCGGCTTTTGAAACCCTCAAGACTGAATTTAGGCCAAGGTTTCCGGAGTAGGGGCACCGGGTTTAGAGGATTAGGGTTGAGGATATCAGAAGTAGTGCCCCAAACCCGAATTCTTCTTTTGAGCGGAAAAGTAGACGGGAAACCTTAGCAAGGAAGCGACAATCCGGTCGGCTCTGAGGAATTCAGGTTGTCAAATTTGGTCTACGTAAGGCGTTCTGCTGCTGGGCTTAAGTTTCTGCTCTTCAAGCAGAACCCTAAACCCTAAACCCTAAACCCTGTTTCGGCGGGGATTCAAGGCTATCGAGTTGAACACTAAGGATCTACCGACAATCTCTTGCTTCAGCGTGGCCAAGAGGCCGTTGAATTTGGGGCCACTTTGAAGTAGCCAGCTATACAGGCATTCGCATCTTGACCAAGTCCTAAACCCAAAATCCTACATCCCAAACTCAAATTCTAAGGGTTGAGATTCTTCAGGCACTTTCAAAAGTCGAGTCTAAACTTAGGGTCTATGGACTCCGGTTTAAGAGTTCGTGTCTGTGGTGTAGCTGTGGTTTCGTCACCGGAACAAATGACCCTTAAAAAGCGGGGGGGGGGGGCCCTGCACCTTATACCATGAATCCCGAAATGGTGGTGGTTGCACATAAATAAAGCCGTCTGTGCTACATTTCCTGCTTGCAACTATCTTGATTAATCTAGTGCACCATTTAGGGACAAGGCTTGTGACTTGGGTGTGGGCCAGGAACTGGTCATTATCTTTCTTTGAAAGAGTGAAGCGGCAAACTAAAGTGTCGCTGCCCGGGTGGATTTTTACGCAAAAATCCTGCAACTTAGCTTCTCTCCTCGGCCCACGCTGGTATGTTGGAAATTCCCACCTGTATCCCTATAAAGCTCCGAACTGGGTCTTGGGCCTTCCGGGAGAGGGTTTCGGCTTTAGGGGCTAAGGGTCCAGGAGCCTTAGGGAAGGGCGCTTGAAGTTCTAAGTTTGTATGACAGGGATTTCCGAGTTGAACAGCATGCCGATCTTTGTGTCCGTTTGCACGGGGCTTTGAACCCGACACCGAACCCACAAACACAAAGCCCAACAACCTAAACCCGTAACCACACGCCCCAAAATGCTGCACTGAAGAATCAGGGATAATTCTCAATATCATTGTTTGGGAAACTCTACGTGCATGATCGACCCTGAGCAGATGCAACTGGCGTCTGAAAACAGCCGGTAATGTAACAGAAAATCGGGTACTACAAGCCGGGTGACACGAACAGGTAAGTAGCACGAGTCAGATATTTCGTTGCTCTCTGCTGCGAACCACCAACAGACACATCACAACAGTTGCAACCTCATCTTGCGGAGTCATGCTTGGAGCATCAAAACTATAACGCCAAATCCACAGTCCTCGTGCGGTACGTGCGCGACAAACCGGGAGCCATCACAGGTGCTGCAGAAATAACAGCTTCAGTTTCGATCTTGTAGCGAAGATGCAACTCGAAGATTTAATGGCCCAGGCCTGATCGTAACACGCGCACACATCGCCGAAAGACAGCCAAACAATCGCAAAGAGATTACCACGACAGAGGCGAATGAAGCAAGCGTCATGGTAAGCTTGAAGACATGGAACATGGAAGCGACGACGTTGCAGGAACAAATGCAAGGCATGCGAATTCTTGACGGCAAAGGATGTGTTAAGTCATGCGAAGGCTGTTGAAGCATTGCACGAGAACAAGGGATCCGAGCCCGGTATGCACGCGTTTGGGTGAAGACATGTCAGCCTATTCAATTATCCAGGTGCGCATTTGTCATCCCAGCATTGCATGGTTGCAGTAACTTATGGGCCGGCAAAAATGTTGAGAGCGTACAACTTATGCTGCATCTCAAAGACCGGGATTCAAACTCGAGGTTTTGGGTTCGATGATGACCTTCGCACGGTGACCGCAACTAATGCTTCTACTGATTGTGTCTTGACCCGGGGTTTCTTCAAACGTTTCAACTTACTTCCTGAAATCTTAATCCTGAAGCCTGGGATTCAAGTGTAGGTTCCGGGGTTTATCAAATTAGGGCCACCGGAGATGCAGAATCCGGGTTGAACATGCAACGTTTTTGACCCTGAACTCCAAATTAACAAAAACTCTAAGTACCTATCCGAGTTCTTTTTAAAGGTCCCTTCTATAAGGGCACTAAATGGGTTTAGGATTTGAGGGTCCGAAGTAGCTCTATAATAGACACGGTAAGACCTGAAGACCCTGCATTGTCCTACTGCCCCATCTGCGCTGCACCGAGTTTCGATACTTGCGTGCTTGCCGGGACACCTGTTCTCGAAGAAATGTATTGCACATGTTAACCAGCTCCCATCTACCAATGGTTGGTAAGATGTAAACAAAAATCAGAGCATTCCGGATCCATTACAGAGCTGCTCAGGCATTCATGTAACAAGGCGTGGGCACTCGGCTGATTGACATGATCTGAAAAAACAACACCTCACAAATTGAATCACAAAGTCACAAAGCCTGACGAATTGGAACCTTTAATAGTCACTTCACTGGCCTCGTCTTTAGAGTCAGATTGAGAACATGTGCGTTAAACAGAGCCAGTCTTCCGGGTAGTGCCGTTGCGGTATCCTTTAGGATTTTCTGGCCTGTTCATTGTAAGCATGCCATAAGAACCAGGTGCCAGAGGTTGGATCAAAAGGCTGACGACATGACTAATTATCCTGAATGCATGGCGAAACTCATAATTACCTTTCGCTAGCCTGGTCCAGCACCAGACAGTCAAGACCCATGACTGCGTGCTTAAAACTGTTTGTTTCTCGCAGTTGGAGCGGACTTGGCCACACAGCGCTGAACCTTGAGTGATGCTTTGCAACCATGTGCGGCCTGCTGAGGAAAGCTTTTACTCATTACGAACGCTCAGGAGCTTCTCCCAAAGGCTTCATGTACCATGTAGGCTCTATGTTTGGCCTCAACAACACCCCTTTAAGGCCACAGCGTATACTGCAGAGGTACACGTAGCCTGTGGCAGTGGGTTTGGGGAGAGCCGCCTACAACTGTTTTAGGATACCTAGTTCTATGGTGAGGATCTGTACTCTTAAAAGGTATGCGCACTCAAAAAAGGGGTAGGGTATGAGCCTCTGGGTACAGTATGACATCAGGTCCTAACGACCCCAACCCTACCATAGTAGTCTGTATGGAGCCTCTCGGATTGCAATCCTCATGGTTACTGTTAGGAATCTATACCCTAAGCCTAAGCCCTAAACCCTCTACCCTATGCCCGAAACCCTATACCCATAATCCTAAAACCTATGTCGCTTTTAGTCGAAACTCTCTATACCGAGGCTAGGAGGTCGAGGTCTGGCCTGCACGAGGCCATCAACAGACACAGCTGCTCTGCACAACTCGTCGGCGTCGAGGTCCGCAAGGCTCTCCCTTGGGCTTCGGTTTCGGGTGAAGGGTCTAGGGTCTTTGGTTTGCGGGTTTAAGGCTTAGTGTCTTGGGGTTGGGGTGTGGGGTCTTGGGTTTGGGGCTTAGGGTGTAAAGTTTGGGGTTCAGGGTCGAGGGGCTGGGACAATGCGCTGAGCCCAAGTCTTCAGACTCCAAACTCTAGAACTAAACCCTACTAGCTTAACCCGAAAGCCCACAACGCCCAAATGGGAGTTTCCGAAAGTAGGGGACCATAATATGGCACCCTAAATAGTGGGATCCTTATTTCAAGGACCCCAAAATAAGGTACCCAGAATTTTTGGAAATTCCCAAACTAAGAAACCCGAGCTCAGCCTTCATCCGTCGCTTAAACCTTGTCCAGAAGTCGCGGCTCCGGCGCACCGTTGTGGGGTGCACTTTGCAGGGAGCCACAGTACTTATAGGGACCCGAAAAGCACATAAGCATAAGCATTTTATGGGGATATCCCTACCTTATTGGGCTTCATTACAAGGGGATTTATATGGGATATCCCTACCCTATTTTTTGCTTATGTGCTTTTTTGGGGCCCTAGGTACACGCATCGACCACAAACTCCAAGTCTTCAGCGTACCGGCTCCGGATGGCAGACCAGACCTTGTGAAAGTTCGCATCATGACCCAGCCATTCGGTGGCACACGGACAGAATCCTCTATGTATCTTGTAGAAGATCCGGATGCACAAGTCGGATGAAGATCTCGTTATTCCCAGCCTGACTGTGTTGGAAGACAACAATGACGAAATCTCGCGACCGGCGTAACTGAGACGTGGTCAGGAGCAATGCGAGGCTGGCAGCACGGTCGCACCGCAGGAAACCGAAATGATGGGTGGCCAGCATCGGATGCTCCAACATGTCCACTAGCAATCGGTCGCCGCCTGTCTTGCATTCTGTGACGATTAGCATCTTGCCTGCCAGGATTTACGGGGGCAACGCCAAAGCAGTTCAAGGTCCCCGTCCCCGCCGATGCCTGGCGGGGCCGCATGGTACTCGACATGCGAGTAGTAGCTGAAGCTCCTGAACGCATATAGCTGCGCCGGCCGACAACAGCACTTAGCATCTAATTATAGTGGGGTTCTATTTCATTATTGTAATGTAGGGGCCTTGATAATTAGAAAAGGATTTTTGGCCCAATAGACTATAACTATAATAAGGAAACCCCCAAAACTAGTATAGGTAATTATTCAGACCCCCATATTAAACCTCGCAGGCATTTCCAAGGTCTGCCAGGTTAGAACAACCTAGGGATTCAACCCCTAAGCCCAGAACCCAAACCGCTGAGCCCCTTACCCTCGGACAAACCTACACAACTAATAAGTATTGGGCCCTCGTGGTTTTAAGAAGGTTTTGGGCTAAAAACTCTACTATAAGTTTAGGAATGAGTCCCCCAACTTGGTATTGGCAAGTTTTTAAGCCCGTATATTATAGAACCCTACTATAAATCCCCTTTAGAGCCCTTTACGGAACCCTACTATAGATCCCTTGTCGGGCCTTTTAAAGGAACCCCTTAAAGGAACCCTTAACCAATTATTGAGCTAGACTGTTCAGTAACCCACTGTGAAAAAGTATATACTGTGTTAGGCTTTTTCTTTTATAATAGGAACCCAGAAACCTACAAGTACAAAAGTGTACCACTGAACAGCCTGGATTGAGGCCCCCTATGCTAACCTCGAACAGCTGGGCTATAGATCCCTTACAAATCCCTGTTAGGGAACCCCTTAAAGGAACCCTTAAGCAATTATTATGCTTACCTCGAAGAGCTGGGATGCGTTGGGATGTCCATTTCGGCGGCCAAGCGCTCGGCCACTGTCGCCTGCGGGCTTTGAATTTTGAGTTTAGGATTTCGCTGCACTGTGTGTCCAAAGCCGCGACCTGTCGACGATGCTAAGGTAAAGCCCGATTCGGCGAATTAGCAAAAAGCATAACCATTGATAGCACAGAATATTGCGGAACTGCGCAAGGTCAAGCACCCACTGCTCAGCTAGGAACCCTCAGGAGTAAATTGATTGCAGAACAAGCCAGCTTGTAGAAAGACGAAAACCTGATGCTGAATGTTCTTGTAAAGCGCAAATCCGTAAAATCCGCTGAGGTTTCTCATGCCAAAAGATGCTGCTGTTCGAATATGTGATGCTGGAATCAGGCAGATTGAGCTGGCTTTGCAAAGCTTCACAAAGCGAGACCTGAACCGATAGATAATAAAGTTTAGGAAGTTTAGGGTCTAGGAAGTTTAGGGTTTAGGCGTTGAGGGTTTTAGGGCTTAGGAAGTTTAGGGTCTGCGGTTTTGGTGTTTTGGGGTTTAGGGTTTAGGGTTTTAGGGTTTGGGGTTTTAGGGTTTAGGGGTTTAGGGGTTTCGGATCTACAGGTTTAGGGTTTAGGGGTTTAGGGTTTACTAGGTTCCCCAGTAGCCCCCTCATAATGAGAGCACCCTGGCTCCTAAGGAACCCAAAAAGAAAAAGGGCAAGAGGTGTCAATGCCATTGAGGATGGGACGTTGGATTCCACGATTTCAAGATTGCTTTTGTGGGCTGTGAGACTTTGTGGTAACCCTAAACCCTAAACCCTAAAACCTTAACCCTAAACCCTAAACCCTAAACCCTATCTTCTCCAACTTGTCCTGGACTTTAGGAGCACGTCCAGGAGTTCGGGTTCCCGTTCATGATCCTTACTTGGAGGGTCGGGGGACTAGGTAACTATAAGGGGTTCCTTTAGGGTTCCTATAAAGGGATCTATAGGGATTCTGTAAGGGTTTAGGGTTTAGGGTTTAGGGGGCTTAGTAACTGGTCATTTTAGGGACTTATAAGTACCATAACCCCAAATAGGGTCCTTTTTAGGGTACTTATAAGTCTACTTACTACCTACTTACTAAGTCCCCCGACCCGAGCAGCAGAGACAATCTAAATGCTAGACCTAAGAGTAACCTAGGAATAAAAAGGATGCCCTTTTTGGTTTAAAGGGGTTTATAAGGGAACCTGAACCCTCAAAAAAGGGAATAAGGGCCTACTCTGGGTCCTAGAATGCCTGAATAGCTTCTAAGACTCTTCTTTGTGTTCCTTCCTACAGTAAACCCCACAAGCGGGTGCTGGGATTCCCTATACCTTACTCTTAAGGATTGAAGCTATGGGGTTTCCAACTTTTCGTAAACCTAAACCACAAACTCTAAACTCTAAACTCTAAACCCTATACACCCTAAACCCTGAACACTATAAACCCTAAACCCTGAACCCGCAACAAAAAGCAACAAACCTGAATCCCCGCCCCATTCCACATCCCAGGCCCCCAACATTGCGCTTCGGAATTCCTAGCGACCCAGGCCCAGAGATGACCTGTAGCTTCATGAGCACTGGATCTATAGGGCCCTAAGGCTCCATGTACCCATATAGTAGATACTTAAGCATTAAAGTTCCCATAAAGGAACCACTTTAAGGCTTAAGTACGTATCTACTGTACAGGTACATGGAGCCTTGCAGCCTTTGGGAAGGATCCTTTAAAGGGATCTATAGGGTTTAGGGATTAGGGGTTAGGGTTCAAGGTTTAGGGTTTAGGGGTTTAAAATTTTCTATAAGGGCCTTTATGGGCCTTCATAACTAGACTAGGTTTTGGGGCCCGTTCTATTTCAATTATAGTAAGGAACGCCCAAAGCAGTATTGGTAACTATTTAAAGAAGATGTCATAGCTAAGCATAAGTAAACAAGCCGTTCCCAGCCTGGACGCAATTATGGGCGATGCCGCTCTCCACCGAGGCTATGAGTAAGCAATATAGTAACTCTAAAGTATCATAACGCCAAAAACCCTCCTGGTGATTGAACGTACTTCCCAATCAAGGGTACAGGTCGAGCCTGAAGGAAAGTATTGCAAAGTAGATCAAATGGAGCATGGAATGCTGTAGCACAAACTTCAACCCTCTGGGAAGTTAAGAAGCAACTCAGGGCACTGGAGGAAAAGTATTCCTGCCCTGCACTGCCCTCCACTCGTTGTAGCAAAGTCTACAGCGGTGGTAGTGCGGGAACGAAGGGGTCTGTAAAATTATCCCACAAGTCCCCGAGTTGCAGGTAAAGCAAGGCATACGGCACCAGCAAACAGTTTGCCGTTCGACCAATTGTCTTTCAGCCCATTCGGACAGTACCCATCTTTGCCGATTGTTATGAGTCGGCAAAGTATCAGAGGCCCCTGTAGTAGGGTTTTATCCAAGTTCCTGAGTATACCCTTTACAATAAGGGCGTCCTGTTTCCTACTATTCGGCTTGAATAAGGGGACCCTAAAACCAAAAAGGCAAAAGGGTACTACCCAGAGACCTAGTTATCCCTAAGCGTCCAAGTGCCCAATAATCATATACTCTCCAAAAATCTAACCTACATAACTACTATCCTAAAGCTGAGTACCTAATTATTGGGTCCTTTGGACCCTTAGGGTATTGTCAAACCTGAACACAGACTGCTCCCCGACCGCCCCCAGGCGAAGTTAACATCTGAAAGTGGTCCAATTCATTCGAACTGTGCTTCGGGCTTTGTTTAGGATGGTTTTGGGTTTAGGGGTTAAGGATGGTTTAGGGTTTACGGTTCAGGGTGTAAAGGTTTTTTGGGGCTTATAGAGTTAATGGGACTTGCAGCGCTTACAGGGTTCAGAGTTTCGAGCCAAAAGCCCTTAGTCTAGGGCCCCCCAAAAAAGCACGTAAGCAAACATAAGGTCAGGGATATCCCATATGAACCCCCTTATAAAGAAGCCCAATAAGGTAGAGATATCCCTATAAAATGCTTATGCCTTATGCTTATGTGCTTTTTGAGTCCCGAATAGTCGTGCCTGCACAGCGCGGCGAGATTTCATTTCCTCACGGCACGGCTGCTCAAAACGGAGACTCAGCATGAACAACTCATCTAGCCGTTAAGTTGCTGTTTAACAATCTTTGGCTAACAGGGTTTAGGACCTGAGTTGTTCATCATATATAATAATCAATCAGCAACAATGAACATCATACACCCGTTGATCCAAGCTACTGCTCGTGTGGGGTTAAAACAATCCTTGTATTATCCATGAGGGCCTTCTTGTATGTCCTCGTTACTTCCCGTAGAACGAACAACCGTTTATCCCTGAACTCCAACGTACATCCTCAACCTTGAACCCTAAACCCCTAAACCCTAAACCCTAAACCCCTAAACCCTAAACCCTAAACCCTGAACCCTCAACCCTGAACCCTAAACCCTAAACCCCTAAACCCTAAACCCTAAACCCTAAACTCTGACAGTAGAAGGAGCCCATGGTCCTCCAATGACTCTTCGGCTGGCCTTGGATCCGGAATCAAGGGGCCTTATCGTTTCGGGTTTAGTTTGCAGTTTCCGAAGACTAGGGGTACCGTATTTTGGGGTCCTTATAATAAGGATCCGACTATTAAGGGTACTCTAATAGGGTCCCCTATGTTCGGAAACTCCCAGATTAGGTTTTACCTGAAGGACCAAATCACCCTTAAAAGTAGGGGCCCTATACCCATATACTATGAGTCCCTATATGGTATATGAACCCTAAACCCTTTTAAGGTTCATTTCGTCCTTAAGGTAGGTTCAGGGTTTAAAGATTTCAGGGAGTGGCTGACTATCTATTGGCGCTACGATGGGCCAAGGGTGCTGCAATTCCGTACACCCTTAAACCCTCCGACCCCAATGTCCTAAACCCTAAACCCGTAAATCCAGTTAAATCCTCAACCCTGGGGCCCTGAATCTTTCGACCCGCACGAAGATGATAAGTAGGCTGTGGTGTACTGTTGTTCTAGCTCTTCAGTATCCTGTCTCGCAGCGTAGAGTTTAGGGTGCAGGGTTACCCGAAGCCTCAAAACAGCTCAAAACCTTTCTACAGGGACGAAAAGCCATAAAACATGAGCACCTTGTATCCATTGTGGTACAATTACACACGTGCCGTTCTCGATGCCCTATATTATACTATGACTGCAATGAGGATCCCCCCCTAACCCTAAACCCTAAACCGTGTTAAACTTCCCTATAATACCGAGACAAGAGCAGTTTTGATAGAGGTTTAGGAGTTTAGGCCTTAAGGGTTGAGGGGTTATTGCAGGTACATGGATCTTCTGTAAAATTTTGCAAGCCTCAAACTACGGAAAACCCTATGAACCCCATGGCCGACCCGATAGAACACGTACTTTACTAAGCCATACTGTTGATGATATAAATCCTGCATTACCTTAAGGACCCTAAACTCTGGGAATTATGGTATATTCCTTATTATGGGTCATGCAGGATTTATATCATCAACCACTATGCTACTATTGTGAAACTAGGTCCCCCGAAACCATGGTAAGGATGGTCATGTGGGACGCACTTCCGTCACGGTAGTTAGTCGTACTAGTCACTCAGGCTTCTTTCTCATACAGAGGAAGACAGAAGCCCCAAACCCTAAACCACAATTCCTTAAGGCTGCTGTTGTTCACGCTATGCAGGTTTCTATTCAACAGTCCTCCAAAAGCTACTTATACATGGCACTCCATGAAGTGAGAACTGACTACCACATCCCCAAAAGCTACTTATAAACGGCACTCCATGACGTAAGAACTGACTACCACAAACCAGTACCGTGCATAGGACCCGAAGATCTTAGCCCAAACTTCCAAGACGGATGAATGGAGGGCCGGTGTTGTGGGGCTGACCCTAAGGCCCTAAAGTAGTTCCTTTTTGGGGGGTTCATATTTAGCATCCTATTTGGTAATCCCAAAAAGGAACTACTTTGGGGCCTATGGGTAGGATGTTGGGGTTGAGGTCTCGAGTTTGGTTTTGAGTTTGGGGTTCTTTGAAGGGTTTGTGCGCCGAGTTTTGCAGGGTTGAAGCAAGTCTGGCAACGAGTGTAGTTGTTCCCTGTTTGGGGTTTAGAATTTGGGATTTATTGGGGCATGTGGTTTAAGGTTTCTTAGTATTTTGTTCAACAGATTAAAAGGTGTGGGCTTGCTCAAATGTCTGGGTCAAACTCAATCGCTATCCAGTGGCTCAGGGTAGCCTTCATCACCGGGACGTAGCTGGGGCAAGAGCGCCTCCCACACACGCATTCTGGCGGAAAGCTTCGGGCCTTCGGGCTTCAGCGCTTCGTGTGCAAAGTTTAGTGTGTAGGGTTTCGGTTTTCTGGGCTCGAGTTTGGGGCATGCGGCGTTTCAACGTATAGCGGGATTTCGTGAAACAGTTTTGCCTTAGATAGACCAGGCTCTCGAATGCAGCTCCTTGATTTCCATGTGCCCACATGGCAAGAATTTGAGCCTCCAGCACTTTCAAGCATTGGTACCTTAAGCCTGCAGATGTAGATTCGATGCAAGGAAGCTATTTTATCTACTGCTTGAGCGTGAGACGGGAACTGGACTGCCGTTCAGGCTTACACCCTTGAACTCTTAACACTATACCCTAAACCCTAAACCCTAAACCCCTAAACCCTAAACCCTAAACCCTAAACCCCTAAACCCTAAACCCTAAACCCTATACCCTAAACCCCTAAACCCTAAACCCTCAACCCCTAGAACCTACACCCTAAACCCCTAAACCCTATAATAGAACCTACGAGTCCAGGGTATATGAGACCACCAGGGCTTAGACAACCGAAATGATGAAAACTCGAAAGCTCGGTAGAGTTTCGGAGTTTAGAGTTTCGTGCCCTGAAGCTTCGACATGATGAAAACTCGAAAGCTCGGTAGAGTTATTGATTTTGGGGTTTAGTGCCGTAAAGCTTCGACACACTGCTCACTCACCACGCCTCACCGCCAGATACGAGCACTTCCTCGGCCGACTCAAGTGCGGAGCAAGTTCCAAAGCTCAGCACTTAAGGACGAGCCTTATCGAGCTTAATGATGGGAGGCCAAAAGGGGGGCTTAAGATTCTTGGGGTAGGGATTCCTTAATATGAACCCTATTATGCGAACCCTAACCCCCACTAGACCCCCATAGTCTCAAACCCCTTTTGGCCTTCGAGAGCTTAAGGGAGCCAATCGGGAGGGACTTCGTCCTGGGGGGTGATTGTAGTGTTAGCAAGTTGCTGAGACTCAGTACTCAAGGGACGGGAATGTATCCCAAACACTAGAATTACAAACCAAGCCCCGGAGCCAAAACAAAAACAACCTACCCAGAGGGTACATATACACTACCATTATGGAACTAGGTCCTCAAAACCATACTAGGGATGGGCTTCTGGAACCTGATTCCATAATTGTAGTGTATATGATACGGTTCTGCATTACCTTAAGGACCCTAAACTATGGAAATAATGGCATATTCCTTATTATGGGTCATGCAGGATTTATATCATCAACCGTATGGACCCTCTGGGCTGCAACCCGAGACCTTCAACCCCTAAAGTGGATCAAACTCTCTCTAAGGCGGCGAAAGATACAGCGACTCGACTTCCCAGCTGAAGAACCCCAGAACGTGGGAAGTAGACCCTCATGAATTGTCATACTTTCGGGGATACTGAAGAAACCTGATTAAGAAACCGTGGGCCTATTATACACAGGAGCCCTGATAAAAGGCCCAAGGTTTCTTAATCAGGTTCCTACATTAGTATATGGTTCAGGGTTCGAGGTCCCAGAACACCTCATACATTGGGGTGGGGTACGGGAAAGGTAGCCCTTTGCAAGGGTCTTACCTTTGGTTAGTAGGGAATGGAGGAATGGGGTACAATTACAACTACTATTACTACCATTCTTCCATTCCCTACTAACCAAAGGTAAGGTGTTCGGTCCTTCCTGCAAAATAGCACACATTCGACAGGCGAATAGGTCCATTCTCCGCACACCGTTGGTCCTCTGATGCCGATTTGTCGCTGAACTGCCTGCCACCTAACCGCACATCACATAATGGGCGTCGATACCATGTCGTCGGAGTATAGTTGTTGAGGGATCGTTGCTTCTTATGTAGCCAAGCACAACTGGTCATTGTGTGTTTGGGCCCTGGTTCCCAAGCCCTGAACCCTAAAACCCTACCTCGTCTTGAACAGAAGCAAGTCTCGACCGGCTTCGCGTAGCGGTCGCCCTGCCTCAACTGCGTCTGGGCTTTGCTTTAGAGTTTGGTGCAGGATTGTTTGGGTACAAATGTTCGGGCTTGGCGCATAAAATGTGACCTTTCCTCAAGGATTGAGGGCTTAACCCGAACCCCACTACTCCGTAAATCACTGCATCACACGGCTAGTACTTCCCTTACTTAAACCCCAGTAAATCCGTACAACACCCTACAAATCCGCACAGCACCTTGTACATCCCGCGGTGCATCCCTAAACAACCCCGTAAACAAACGTGTTATTCAACCACACGTCACAAAGCGCTACCCAATAGTAACAAACCACCCGAAAAGTTCGACCGTTGGACCTATAGCCTACAACAAAGACCTTCAGAAAGCCTAAACCCGTAAAGGCCAAAACCCTAAGAACTAAAAAACTAAACCCCTAGAACTAGACCTTACAAACTCTAAGAACCAAAAGCCGTATAACAGAACTACACCCCATAACCCTAAACCCTAAACCCGGAACTAGAATAACCCTGAACACCTGAACCCTAAACCCCAAAGTAAAATCACGAACCCAGAGGGTCCATGCACAATACCATTATGGAATTAGGTAGTATACATGGGTAGTTGTCAAAATTAAAGTCCCTTTGTGGGGGTACCCTAAACAATCGGTGCCGTATTACAATAGGGACCCGAAAAGGGATCTTAATTTTGACAACCACCCATATAGGAGCCTTAGTAGGCAGAATTAAACGAGCGAAAACTAAAATCAGGAACTTGAGATCTTAATTTTGATAACCAACATAAATCCCTGAACCCTATAGATCCTTGTAAAGGACCCCTTCATAGATCCCTTTAAAGGAGCCCCAAATCCTATAGATCCCTAAGCTAAAATGAACGAACCTTGGCTTCGAAGGGAAGGCCAAGGATCGACTCCAGGCCTCCCCAGGCCAGGGCCTGGTCCAAGGGTTTAGGAGTCTAGGGGTTTGAGGGTTTAGGAGTTTGAGGTTCAGGAGTTTAGGGTTTAGGATTCCAAGGGTTTAGGGGTTTAAGGGGTTTAAGGTTTAGGGTTTAAGGTTTAGTTTTTTCAGGTTTAGGGTTTAATTATTAAGGGTTTAGGGTTTGAGCTTTTACGGTTTAAGTTTTAAGGCTTTGAACTTTTGGGTTTAGGGGTCCAAGGGTTTAGGGCTTAGGTTAGGGATCTATACGACTTGGGCTCCTTGATTGAAAGGGATGGTTTTAGGGGTTTATGGGTTTAGGGGCTTAGGGTTTAGGGGCTTAAGGGTTTAAGTGTTTAGGGGTGTAAGGGCTCAAATGGTTCAGTCTGGGGTCTCGGATCGGGATTTCAGGATTTCGAGGTTCTAGGGTTTAGGGGTTTAAGGGTTTAGGAGTTTAGGGTTTAGGAGTTTAGGGGTTTAAGGGTTTAGGGGTTTAAGGGTTTAGGGGTTTAGGGGTTTAGGGTTTAAGGCTTTACGGGTTTAGGCGTTTAAGGTTTAGGGGTTTAGGGGTTTAGGGTTTAGGGGTTTAGGGGTTTAGAGTTTAAGGGTTTTGGGGGCTTAAGGGTTTCAGTCTTTAGGCTTAGGGTTTACCAGGACCCCCCCAAGGGCGCTTTAATAGAGTCCTTATGACCCTTAATAGTGGGTATTTGGGTATATTGGAGGGCAGTTGGGGGGGTCTTGGTAGGGTTTAAGGTTTAACGTGTAAGGTTTGCAGGAAATCTCATTTCTTCGCTATTTCCGGGCAGGAAGAACCATTTTCAGCGATTTCAGGACAGGAGGCTTGTAGTCTATGTTGCGTCTTCTGGCCTTCCATTGCCCTCATGAAACTCTAATGCAGCACGCTTGAATCCATGAAAAACTTGGAACCTCAATCTCGACTGTGTAGGTGTAGGAGTTTAGGGCTGGAACTTCAATGAGCGAAGCCCATGAAACCTAGAAGGCCAGGAAAAGCTAACTATGAACGTTCAAGCAAACTCGAACGAGCCGAATATCCCAAGCGCCGACTGAGATTTAAACTAGGGCCTTCATCATTCAAATAGGGGTTCGAAGACGTTATAGCTCAATCATAACGAACATTCCTGAGGATAATACTCTTTGAAGTAATTCAGGTCTCCATATGGAGCTCTGAAAGGAACCATCTGAAAGCAACCCCTAAAAGAACGCTCAAAGGAATCCCTAAAGGAACCCTTACAGGAAGCCCTAAAGTCCTAAAGGAACCCCAGATGAACCTCGCCTGCGCCGCGGAAACGCATCGCCCAAGGCCGGCAGATCGTAGTTGCCAGGTGCTGGGTACGGCCTTCGGGAATCTCTGTGTTAAAGTCATGGGTTTAGGGTTCAGGGTAGCTGGTGTGTTCGTAAGGGTGGTTGCCAAAACTATGGTCCCTTGTTGGGTCCCTCATACAATACGGCACCTAATACTTGGGGTACCGATGAATTCCATAGGCATGCTTCCAGAAGCACTGCAACTGGAAAGGAACACCCTACACAAAGAATGTCAGCTCATCCTCACAACGGATATGTGCGCGCATAAATGCGCAAGATCTCTCTGTCTGTCTGTGTCTCAAACCGCATGCTCACAGACAGTATATACATGTCTTGGGCTCTGCCCCCCCCCCCAGACAGTAAGAGTCTATAATAGGGCTACGATTAAGGTCCTAATATATCTATATTATGACTTTTATCAACTGTTACTGGGTGAGGACAGTACCCAATTCATGTCCATAAACCCTAAACCCTCGAAGCCTATTAAACCCCGACAGAACCCATTGATCGTCTGAAGATCTCATGTGCTTGTCCAGGTTCTTGAGTAGCCCCTTGGTGATGGTTTAGGGTTCCGGTACCCTTGCTCATACTCATTGTTCGAATTAATAGGGGGGGCCGAAAACCAAAAGGGCAAGAGGACGCTACTCAGGAACCTTGTTGTAGCATCCCCTAGGACCCCTTACCCATGGGGGTCCATGTACTTGGGCCCGAAACTACCTATATAGGGACTACTTGAAGGCCTAAGTACAATTATGCGGATGACGGATCCTCTGAACTCTGAAGATCCCATTGTAGAATTCTTATGATCCTTTAGGATTCCATGGAACTCTGATAGAAACCGTAAAAGTCAGAAAAGAATCCTCGAAGATCCTTTATAGAACCTCTGAATAGGATTTAGGGTTTCGGGTTTAGGGTCAAGATCACTTGTAGACTCCCCGAGGCCTCCTTGCAAAGACTTTGACCCAGCCATCGCATTTGCTGCACACCTTTGCCACTCTTCAAGAATCCAGGGCTTACGAGTTTGGGGGTTTCGGGTTTAGAGGTGTCCAGGATTTAGGGTTTAGTGGTTTTGGGTTCAGTGGTTTAGGGGCTAGGGGTTTAAAACTTCGGTGGGTGAGGGCTTAGCGTGTGAATGAACACTTTGAACTACGGCAACACTGCGCACCAATCAACTCAGAAGCCACGAGCACAACTCCACAGGCCTACGATCAGGGATCCTCTGCTACAGGGCTTACGCGGCATGGCTTCTTCTTGGGCACTTTGCTTGGTCCGCTCAGGGGGGTTAATCGTCGGTACTGTAGTTTCGCTAAGGCTATGTAGGTACTACGAGCAGTTCTTCCTTTTACTACATGATGGCTTCTTCTTGTGAGGCACGGTCCCTCGGTGCTTTTATCTCAAAGATCCTAGGTTAGCGTCGGGTCGCAGGCTTCTTGAATCGCTTATGCCAGCACATTGAAACGGTAAAAGATGCACTTGGAACACATATACCCGAGATTCTGCTCCCGAATCCCCTCTTCCGCATCCGAATCCCCTAATGTAGGAACCTGATTAAGAAGCCTTGGGCATTTATTGGGCTTCCTTTTCTGAATCCTACAATTTTGTCTCAATAGGTCCCTACATTATGATAGATCCCTTATAAACCCCTCAGAGTAACCCTCATAGACCCCTTTAAAGGAACCCTTAATCAGGTCCCTACACTTCCCTACATTATTCCGGAAGCCCTCCAAAGTCTCCTCAAACCCCGGAAACCCTCGGCCCAACAGCTCGGGCTCCTCCAAACCCCCACGTGGGCCTTTGGGGTTAGACAGGTAGTTGGGTTTAGGGCTTAGGGTTGAGGATTTAGGGTTTGGGGTTTAGGATTTAGGGTTGAGGGTGTAGTTGGGCTTAGGGTTTAGGGTTTCAGTTCTCGAAATTCGGGGGTGTCGCTGTTTGGGGTTGCACCTCTCGCATGACCAGGAGCCCTTCAACAAGAACCCTGACTGAAACAACGAACTCCACTGCACAACTCAAGCACCCTCATGCGAAGCAACTCAGGAGGCCCGCCCAAAGGGATCCCCGGTAGGATAGGAAGTAGATAACTTACAGGCGAATGCAGGCTACATGAAATACAAAGAAAATTCAGGCGCCCCCTCCCGCAGCTGCCTGACATATAGAAGCGGTAGGGTCGTGCTTTGGGCTGCAGGGCTTTAATAAGGTTTCGGTTCTCGGGTTTCGGGAGCAGGGTAACTACGGGATTCATTTCGAGACTGGCACTGGTTCTTCAGACCCCTCTAGTACTCGACACCTTCAGGTGGCACCTTTGGCAGTGAGCTCGCCCCAGGGAAATCCTGCAGAAGAGCTCATCGCCGGGGGCGCATACCAGCCATCTCCTTTCAAAGCACTTTGGGAAACCCTAACCCCTGAACCCCGAAACCCTAAACCCGAAGCGCTTGAGGGATCCATTAGCAAGTCTGTAGACTTCTATGACGGTTCTATAACAGCGGTCGGTTTAGGGTTTAGGGCACTAGGGGGTCTACTGTCTTAGGGGATGGTTTAGGATTTAAGCCTCAGCCTTTCGCGCTTACGGTTTCTGGACCTGTGGCTTACAGAAAAGATTTAGCAACAGCCCTGAATTTGGGTCTCTGGGGTCCGAAGTTACCATACCGTTTAACCTACCTTAACCTACCAAAACCTACTTTTTTGTAGGGTCCCTATAAATTCCATAAATGGGTTTATAATAAGAACCCACAAAAAAGTAGCGTTTGGTACTTTACCTATGAGTCCATGGACTCATACAGTATGTGTTCTGGCCCTAAAGGACATATGGATACGGACTACATAGCCACAAGCCAAAACCCTGAACCCGAAACCCGCCCCAAATCCTCAAAAAACTCGGCAGCTGCTGCTCTGAGGGCCCGAAGCACCCTATCCTAGGGCCCATGCCGCATGGAAGGACGTCAACGAATCATAATCCCTAAGGCTCCATGTACTCATATAGTATATACATTGGCCTTAATGAGTCCCTATATATAGGTACATTCGGGCTCATGTACCTCTATATGGGTACATGGACCCTTAGGGAATTAGCCTCAACCGGAAACCCTAAACAAACCGCAAACCCCTCCACGCCAAGCTTCCAGGCCGGGGCAAAACCACGGTGCCTGACTTCGCGCGGGTTCTGCACGGGCTACTATGCGGGTTCGATAAGGATTGCTAGAATTGCAAGGGCTTCGATAAGCTTTGCCTAGCCCTCACGGTGGTTGAGGCGTGTAGTCCGAGGAGGCACTATCTAAACCACAAGTTCCTCACAATGAAGCTCGAACAGACAAAATCCGAAGGAGACACGACATACCATCCAAATAGTATATACTTTGGCCCTCATGTACCTGTACAGGACTACTTTCAGGCCAAAGTACATGCTATTCGAATACATGGAGCCTTAGGCATATTGACCCGACAAACCCTGAACACCAAACCCTAAAACCTCTTCTTCAAATCCAATTTCTCGGATACAGCGACACTGGAGCTTCCCCAAACAGAAGGTGCAACCGCAGGATTTGGGGTTCAGGGTTTAGGTTTAGGGTTTATAGGGATTTAGGGTATAGGGCATAGGGTTTGAGGGTGTATGGTTTAGGACTCAGGGATTAGGGTCCTCAGCTCGAAGACTACGCCCGCAATCCCTTTCCAACCCTGAACCCCACCTTAGCCGTAAGATGAACACTCCGCGAGTGCCTGAACCTTTGGTGCCCGTAAATTACCAGAACTCTGGCAGGGAAATCCTTCCAAAGAACCGTTCAAAGGAACCCTTCAAGAGACACCCATGAAAAAAGGAACCCTTAAGAACAAAGACTTTAACAATACATTTCAAAAGGAATCCTAAAAAGGAGCCCCGAACCAAAATCCTGAAAACAGGAACACGAACGCCCCAAGCCCTAAACGGAACCCTTACTAAACCTTAAAGGACAGTCCAAAACCCTAGGAGTCCATGTACCCAAACAGTATATGGGTGGTTGCCAAAATGATGGCGCCTTTTTGGGGGTCCTTTATATAGCACGGCACCCATTATTTAGGGTACCCAAAAAAGGATTTAGGGTTTAGGGTTTAGGGTTTAGGGAATTTTGGCAACACCCATATACTTCGGCCCCTAAGCACCTATACAGGAACCACTTTGAGACCAAAGTACATACTATCTGGATACATGGACCCTGCACGAAAACCCTTAAAGAAGCCCTCTTGAAGGAAGCCTTGAAGAAAACCCTTAAAGGGACACTCCTAAGAGGCCTGTACCGAGATCTAGAACCCTACTCTGGGATTTATAGGGGCCCCAAAACAATAGGTTCTGGTGGGTTCATGTAAAGGACATAAGCCTTAACCCTAAACCCTAAACCCTGACCCTAGTTAGACCCTAAACCAGAAGCCCTTAAAGGAACCCCTATAGAGCCCCAGCCCCTAAAGAAGCCTTAGCCCTAAACCATAAACCCTAAACCCTAGTTAAACCCTAAACCAGAAGCCCTTAAAGGAACCCCTATACTATAGAGCCCTCAAAGGGCCCCTTAAAGAAGCCTTAACCCCAAACCCTAAACCCCTAACCCCTAAACCCTAGTTAAACCCTAAACCAGAAGCCCTTAAAGGAACCCCTATACTATAGAGCCTTCAAAGGGTCCCTTAAAGAAGCCTTAACCCCAAACCCCAAACCCCTAACCCCTAACCCCTAAACCCTAGTTAAACCCTAAACCAGAAGCCCTTAAAGGAACCCCTATAGAGCCCTCAAAGGGCCCCTTAAAGAAGCCTTAACCCTAAACCCTAAACCCCTAACCCCTAAACCCTAGTTAAACCCTAAACCAGAAGCCCTTAAAGGAACCCCTATAGAGCCCCTTAACGGGCCCCTTAAAGGAAGCCTTTAGGCTTGCTCCGAGCAGCTCCGGTCCATGGCCGTGGATGCCTCCTTGCTTGGCAAGGTCGGGAGCCTCGTCTGCGTTGCGAGGAAAACGGTGTTCCTTTAAGGGATCTAAAAGGGTGCCTTTTAAGGGATCTGTAGGGGTTCCTTTGGGGGTAGATTATACTAGAATAAAGAATCCCTGGAATAGTATTGGTAACTATTAAAACGCATTTACCATAGCCTGCCAAGACCTACTTCTTGTAGGTTGTTATCATAAACCCTACTATGGAATTTATAGGTACCCTGCAAACAGTAGGTTCTGGTGGGTTAGGGTAGGCTCCTACTTGGAGGATCATGGGACTTAGTAAGTAAGGTTGTAAGTACCCTAATTGGGGTCATAAGTATTAGTTACCCTAATAATAACCCTAGTTACTACTGCTGATGGACAAAATCCTGCATGACCCTAAGGACTCTAAACTATGGGAACTATGTTATATTCCTCATAATGGTTAATGCAGGATTTTGTCCATCAACAGTATGTCCCATGATCCTTCAAGTGCATTGGTCCGGCGTTCAACAACTCGGGCCACGACCATCGCATGAGGCTCCCCAAGGGAATCTGCGGGGTTGCCCCCCCAGGGCTTAAGAGCACCTGCGTTCGAAGTTCGCTGCGGTTCCGAGGAGAGTGTGGGGTCTAGGCCTAAACCCTAAACCCAAAACCTAGGGGTTTGGGGGTGTATCGATTTTTGGAGTTTATGGATTCTGCGGCTACGGAGTTTAGGGTTCACAGTAGAGGGGTTCAGGGTTTCAGGGGCTTTAGGGTTTTAGGTTTAAGGTTGAGGGTTTGGGGTTTAGGAATCCTCTACTCGAAAACTCGACTTCTGAAAGCCGCCCGTTTCAGGATTTCACCTTTGTAGTGATCCTGATGAGTAAACCCTGAACCTTGCTTTTGCCAAATGAAGAGCTTAAGTTCTATAGGACTGCTTTGGGACGAAATGTGGGAGATGCCTTAATGTATGCAGCTAACAGAAGGCCTACATGATTAGGTGCCGTATGATAACAAGGACCCAAAAAAGACCCCAATATTGACAGCCACCCAAGTGTCATGCCCAGGAGAGCTTATCTACAGAAGAAGGGCTCACCTTTTAAACCCTAAACCCTAAACCCTAAACGCCAGTTAACTTCAGAATAAACCTCGAACTGCAGTCAATGTTGTAAGGCTTCGCTGCAAACTTACAAATTTGAATAGTTTGAAATGAAGCAGCTTCGATTTGCTAGTTGGGAAACCCGTCTAACTGCCTTACGCGAGCCTCGTGAGAGTACCCATGTTTTGAACTAGCTACTCCTGCTCAGACTAGGCTTGATGGCCCAACAACTTATCGGTTTTATTGGTTGCATACGTCCTCACGTTGTTCTGGTGCAAATACTTCGCGAGTAAAACGAAGTGCCTGAACCTACTTCTTGGGCACTTGGAGCGTCAGCCGTTCTTTCATGTACGAACTTCAGCCATTTACAGGCATCCGAATATATGAGCGCTACTGAAAGAAAGAAACCTTTTCGGCTAGGTTGGGCTCGGGAGGGGGGTTTTAGGGTAGATTCCTTATGTAGGTGCCTGGCGTAACAGCAGCCGCTCCGCGGGCATGGCAAGGAATTTCCACTCAAGGCTCTAAACTACACGCCAACAGAATATGGTTCCTGTAAGGGCTCCTTCACGGGATACGGCCGGTTCAGGGTTCCTTGAATTAAGGGCTCCTGTACGGGTTCTACAAAGGTTTAGGGTATAAGGACTAGAAGGACCACCATACTACAAAAGGATCCTGCATTAAGACTAAGGTACCGCAACAGCTGCATTGAGCTGATTGCACTAGCTAAAATGGTATACGGGTCCATGTTGGGGTACATGGACCTTTGGCAGCAGTGCGTGTAACCCTAAACCCTAAACCCTAAACCCTTCTAAGCCAGTGCTGGGTTGAGGAGCCCCATGGGATAAGGGTCTGTTTACTGGAGCCGTACCTTAACCTACCAGAACCTACTTTTGTGTAGGGCCCTTATGAATTCCAGATTGGAGTGTATGATAAAAACCTACAAAAAGGTAGGTTTTGGTAGGTTAAGGTACGTACCAAGCAAAGCTTGCAGAAGCTTCTGCCTGAGCTAGGCTACGCCGAAACGGATGAGAATGCATGCAGGAAGCTCCGGGAAATGCCTTGAAACCTTACTTTCCCGTGCAATGGAAAAGCCGAGTCCTGGTGCGGAATGGTGCATCTGTGACACAAAACTCAACAGGTCCAAGTATTATCATGGTATCTACTTAGACCCCAAAATAGCCTATAAGTATATACCACAATGATACTTGGACCATGTGGGCTAGCTGGGCCCTATAAGCCGAAGCCTATGCCCTGATCTTGACTTCCCGCGTGACGTAGGCCCCAAAACATTTGCCTGTTGTACTTTGCCTGCGGTTTCTCGAACCTGGGAGGTTGTCAAAATTAGGGTACCTTTTTGGGTACCGTACATAATAGGGTGCCGTATTAGAACAGGGACCCAAAAAGGGACCCTAATTTTGACAACCACCCACCTGATTGCACAATGACGTATGGATCCCATGGTGCACACCCCACCTCAACCTGGACACAGAACGCCTGCGAACCCTTAGCACCTCATCAAGTCTGTACAACAACAAATTGAACCTTCCCTTCTGCATTCTGAAAATCTGCAAAAGCGTGTTGACCTCCTTGACACGCTAATAAGCTAAACAACCGGATGTACAAGATTCAGCCAACGGGGTTCCGGCGACCAAGTTTGCCCAGAGAGTGTTGAGATTCCTGGGAATGTTGGGCTGGGGTAAACACATACATAAGCCCTAAATCCGAAACCCTAAACCCCGAAACCCTGAACCCTAAACCCTAAACCCCTAAACCCTTTCCGAGGGCTCCAGGAGCACGATCTTACGGAAAGCATTGAGCAGACAGCCGACAGACAAACTTCCGCCTTCCAAGCGTCTTTGATCCAAGGGGAAAAGGAGGGACCCTTAATGGGGACCCCTACCCTATAATGGGCTATATAATGGCTATATAATGGGTATATTATGGGTATAGACCTAGGGGTCCTTATTAGGGGTCCCTCCTTTTACCCTTTGATTTGAGTAATGACCCTGCTCATCTCCTAAGGCCCTAAAGTAGTTCCTTTTTGGGCTTCATATTTAGAATCCTATTGGGTACTCCCAAAAAGGAACTCCTTTGGGGCCTATGGAAAAGGACTCATCTTAAGTTAGGAACGATTCGAACTCGTCGAGCCTACTGCTACAAATCGCATCACCATAACTCACAGTGTCGAGTAGTTAATATTAACGTAATGCACCCTCGCAATACAAAGGCTCCATGTACCGTTATCGTAGATACTTAAGCCCCAAGTAGTCCCTATATAGGTACTTTAAGGCCTAAGTATATACTATATGGGCACATGGAGCCTTAGGGTTACAGAACCCCGTATGGAAGCATGGGCTATGGTAGATCAAGGTGAATCGAGGCAGAGTTTAATTAGCAGCCAATCCTCTTGACCCCAAAACCCCTAACCCCGAATTACACCTTGTAAGCTCTACCCTAAGGCCCCAAAGTAGTTCCTTTTGGGGGGGTCATATAAAGAATCCTATTGAATAATCCCCAAAAGGAACTACCTTGGGGCCTATGGGTAAACCCTACTCCCCATACTGAGCCCTAAACCCCAGGCTGCACGTTGAAGCCTAAGCTGCGCTCGGGACTCTCATGAACCTCTTCATTGGAGGGTCCCCATTACTTCCATGTTTTGGTTTAGAATGAGAGGCTACGGAAAAGTAGCTAACTACAGCACCCTAAACTATGTCCTACCCCCTGAAATCCTCAATCCTAAACCCCTAAGTAACCTCAACCCTAAACCCTATAGATCCCTTATTATAGAATCCCTTATAGATCCCTTTAAACTCATAAAACTTGTAAGGAAGCATATGGACCCCGTGAAATCCTGGACCCTAAACTGCCAACATGGGCCGGCCTAAGCAAGGTTCGGTTTATGCCCGTTCAGGTGTAGGGTTTCGGGGAACTGTCACTATCTAATGTAAAACTAAGTAAACAAATAAGAAAAAGGAAATATATGTATATTGTGTATAGGGAGAGGCAGACAAATGGATAGAAAGATAGTTATATATATATATATATATACATACATACAGATGAATACAAAGACCAATCCAACATTTTATTGACAACGACCCCTTAAACGAACCACCTCTTCAATCGAGAAACCTTAGATCAAATACAGTCGTCAATGTAGATACCTTAAAACAAAAACGCCTTTCGCGGTCAGGGTTCGGGAGTGCCATGAGCGAATCGACAAGGCCAGCACCGGACGACACCGAAGAATCCGGGAAAGCCTCTTGCAGTCTTCACTAGTCAGGATTCTATGGTAGTTCTGGGTTTGGAGTTGACCGGAATCTGATACCCTACAAGTAAACGCCTGAACCGCCTAGGATGTGAACAGAAATCCTTAGCAGTCTTGGCAGAGCCGGATTTTGGGCGAATAGGTTCGAAAGCTGTAGTTAAGATGAGAGAGATTGGGATTGGGTTTTGAGTTTAAGAACTCTTAAGGTCTCCGGTCTAGAACTTCGCGAACTTACAGTAGAAGCCTAAAAGTTGGAAACCCGATAGCCTCAATCCTTAAGAGTAATGTATATAGGGAATCCCAGCACTATTTGGCCTTGATCCGGTTTCCATCTTTATTGGGTTTACAATAGGGCTCCAGAAGATGTTGGTGAACTTTGCAGGGGGTCATGCTCAACGTGATTCGGGACAAACTTGCAAAGTCCGTCTTGACCTAGCTTAATTGTGGCATGCAGGGGGGGGGGGGTGTTTGCGGACGGCTGCTGCTTTTTCACCTGTACCTACTTGCGACAAAAAGATCAACAGGACTGTAGCCGCACAACACGGATTGGGCATCGGCTTTGCGAACACAACATGATAACAAACTGAACCGTATTTCTATGTTTCTAAACACGAACCAACTCTCAACTGATATTCCGGTAGCTCTGGAAAGCTCTTGTGGTCAAACACTGTTGTGCTAAGAACACATGTCGTACGCTTAGCTCACACACTGCAGAATGCACGGCCATGAACTATAACTAACTAGCAATGCCCGAGCAAGACTGACTGACACGCAGTGATTCATTGTTCGGAATAAACCCCGATGCCGACGCCCCACGCAAAAACAGGGCAAGCCTACTCGAGGGTCCTAAATAATCATCAATACTATTATTTTGGTGGTTCCTTATTATAGTTATAGTATTCTGGGCCCGCAAACCCAATCCTTTAGGCCCTTATAATATCGAACACTACTATAGATCCCTTATAGATCCTGCTTAAGGAACCCTCTAAAGGAACTCCAATTCTTAATTATTTAGTTCCCTACACTCCCTAAAAAGATTCAAGAAGTTTATAAAACCTTACAGGAACCCGTATCGTAGCATTATAGTAGAACCCCGTAGAAGAACCCTCGCAGAGCTAATATCAATTACCTACCTCTTGAAGGGTATATACCCATAAAGTAAATACGCATGGTCCTTATATAGGGGCTACTTTCTGGTGAAAGCATATACTACTGTAGTACATGGAACCGCAGAGATAATTAGGCCCTTGTACACTACACCCTACCCTACGGGTCCTAACAAATTGGGGAACCTCAAAATTGAGTGTTTCTGAAAACAACAAAGAGACCCAAGGACTCTCCTTAGGGCCCTAGGACATTCCAGACCCTCCTAAAGAGATACCCGGACCCTTGGGGTAAACCCCTAAACCCTAAACCCCTAAACCCTAAACCCTAACCCCTAAACCCCTAAACCCTAAACCCTTAACCCTAAACCCCTAAACTCTAAACCCTAAACCCCCAATTACACCCTAAACCCCTAAACTCTCCACCCAATCCGTATGATTCAATGATGATCCAGGCGCGGGACCTCGGTGAACTGACGCATCTTCAGGCCTGGAGCTGATGATGAGCACTTAAGGATTAATTAAGAGGTTTAGGGTTTAGGGGTTTAGAGTACTCATCGTTCGGGTCAGCCGGGAGGTTGGGTCTCTGCTGGTCGGCTCCAGCTTCCACCGGATTGGCTACCCCCCCGGTCTCAGGGCTCGGGGCCAGCTGTGACACCTCCTTGACCGGCGTCCTGACTGGCTTTGGGGGAGGCTCCCTCACCCCCGGGGGCCGATCGGAAGAGGACGCAGCCGATGCCGCCGCCCCTTCCTTCTTCATCTGGGCCTTATTTCGCTTGGCTGCGTCTCGAACCGCCTTCGGCGGTCTCGTACGGTTTCGCACAAACGTGCTGCGAGACACCCTGTCCGCGTCCGGGTCCCGCTGTGCCCGGAAAAGTCGGTAGGCCAGCTCAACCTCCCTGTCGCTTCGGTTTAGTTAAGAGGCTTACCCTTGGGTTCTAAGGACTCATATTCTAAGGCTTTTGAGCCTAAAGGTTAGGTTCTAAGGACTCATATTTTAAGGCTTTTGGGCCCAAAGACCGTACTACTTACATAAGGCTTTTGGGCTAGTTTGAGCTTTAGGGTGGGGGGGGCAGTTTTCGGGTGATATTCAGGTACAGGGGAGGGTTGGGATTCGGGTTTAAGC